GGTAAGATTGTGGGAGGTTACTTTTTCCTCTTTGTTTCTCTGTATTTTTAAGTTTCTATTAAAAAGCACTGAGTTCTTACTAAGTATGAGGTATTTTGGTTTGTACCAGAAGTAGACTGATAAAATACTTGGCATACAAATAACATTACTCTCTGCGCACCCACAGCCTCATGAAGAAATCAGAAAGGAATATAAATAAATAATTAAATTCCTTTTGAGAGATGTTAGAGCACATATATACATATATACATGCATGGAATTACAGAAGAAAAGGCAAATAAGTCTTTTGGAGGAAAGAGGTGTCAAAGTTGCACTGGAAGAAGTAAAACTCACGATTTACAGATGAAATTATATTATATATAAAAACCCTACAGACTCCATCAAAAAAATTGTTAGAGCTAATAAACAAATTCAGTCAAGTTGCAGGATACAAAATCAATACAAAAAAATTGGTTACATTTCTATACACTAATAACAAATAATCAGAAAAAGAACTTAAGAAAACAATCCCATTTAAAGTTGCATAAAAAAGAATGAAATGTAAGAAAAAAATATAACCAAGAAGGGGAAAGACCTGTATATTGAAAACTAGAAGACATTAATGAAAAATATTTTAAAAAACACCTACATAAAAAAGAAATATAGGGAAGGAGGGAGGTAGAAAGGGAGTATGGAGGAAGGAGGGAAAGAAGGAAGGAAGGAAGGAAGGAAGGAAGGAAGGAAGGAAGGAAGGAAGGAAGGAAGGAAGGAAGGAAGGTTGGTTTCATAAAGACATACATTTTGAAGGAAGGCTAAACATTTTTCAGATGTATTTAATATAAGGCAGGAAAGGATGGTTTGAACAGAGGGAACATTATATTTAAAGGCATGTAAATATAAAAATGCATGGTCTATTTATGGTAAATATAAAAATGCATGGATACCGCACCTCTTACAGATAGTGCATGGGAATAGCAAGAAATGAGCTAGAGAGAGAGACTGAGGTCATACTGAAAACGTGAGACCTCTCTGAAGGCTTCTGAGAGCCAATAAAGGATGTAAGACAGAAAATGCCTCACCCGATTTCCATTTTAGATGCTACCTAGTGAGGAGTTTGGCCCGAACAGGTAGAGACTGAAGGACGGGGCCGGGAGGGATACTGGAAAGCTGCTGCTGTGGTCCTGGTGAAGGATAATGGCGGCCCCAAGAAAGGAGGGTAAGGATGGGAGACCTACGCTGAGAAAGACGCCAGAAGAGCAACCAGTAGCACCTGTCACCTCATGAAGTGTGTATTGGTGGTAGACAGGGGTGGTAACGTTCTCCAAGGTATCCTGGTTGGGTGAAATAGCGGGCAAGTTGCCATTCTCAAGGCTATGAAACGCGAAAGGAGAAGCTTTTGACGGCTGAAGGATGGGAATGAGTTGAACCCGAGACATGTGGGGTGGAGATGTCCGTAAGGTACCCAGGTAGAGAAGTCAGAAATCGGAGATAGATGGGGGAGAGAGAAAAAGTCCTGGACCAGGTTTCCTAACAGTCCCATGACAAGTGTGTGGGATGTTCATCTTATCGTCACCAAAGGACATAATAGTCAAGGCTGCTTAGCCAGAGGGATGAAATCCAGACACTACAAGTCAGAGAGTCCAGGGTGAGGTTTAAATAATAAAACAATATTTGGTGTAACATATACAATCCTAGCAGATGTAGTAGTTACTAAGGATGAAGACATTTTTATGTGCTTATCCCATAGTGAGTGCAGTTACCAATGTAGTTCTTCTTATTATGTTGATAGGCCCAAAGAGCAAATTCTTGAGACCAAACTATGATTCTGTGAGTAGGAGACATAAACAGGCTTTTTAAAAGTCATTTGGTGACAAACTCAGATTGATTCTTAGGAAGAGTTCTATATGCTTTATTAGGTCAAAAGTAGTTGACAAGTTGACCTGTTTAACATTACATTCTCAGATTAATTTCAAACATTTTACAAGAGGCATAAAATACATAAAATGTTAATCGTCTTGATGCTTTTTCCTGTTAGGTTCAGCATTTATGAATACTCACAGCTGTAGAGGTCACCTGGGAATCAGCAGAAATTTGGTGAATCCCAACATTACATAAAACCACGCCAGCTGAACGCCCAGGAAGGATATCTACTCATTTTTATTAAAAAAAAAAAGTTCTCAAATAACATTTTTAATTGGTAAATTAGGCATCAATATCACAGGCAGGGTGGGGCCAATAGACATGACCTGTAAAGAAGGAAGTAAGAGAAGAGAAAAAAAGAAAATAGAAAAGGAGAACAGAAAACTGGGTAAATCCATAATTACATAACCAAAAAAATCTCCTCAGAGCTCTGCTTACTCACCCAAAGGTTAGACCACTTGTTAATAAAACTTTGATTTTACAAATTATCTTATGATCAAAACAGGTTACTGTCCTGGACTTTTGGCGCTTCAAAATCAAATTTAGAGCCTTTTCAGAACGGCTGCCATCTTCAGGAGCACTGTCCTATGTCTGCCGAGGCTTGCTCCCAAGAACTGGCACCTTGAATGCTTCCCACTGCCCCCAAGAGTCTTACCCTACGCATTGTCTTTGCTTCTCTCAACACCCTCTTCCCTATTTATTCTCAGAACCAGCTGTGCTTTCAGTGAGAGTTTGTGGTAGGTTCAGAGTAGTGTACACACATTTTCCTTTCCATTTATATCTTCATAGTAGTTTGAGTGGGTTTTCTTTTTTTTTTGCCAGTAAAACAACAAAGAGGTTACTGACAGTTATTCTTGATTCAGCACACTTTACAGAGAGAGGAAATAAAGTTCGAGCCTAAATGCACTCTAGTAGCCACATTACCAATCCTTCTAGCTGAAATTCTGTCAGCTGAAATTCTGTCACATCTACAATATTTTTTTTTTTAGTTTTATTTAAATCTTGGTTACACAGAACTGGAATGATCATAATCTTCATAATGAATGTCTTGTTTGGCCTTTCAGAATATTAAATATGTGAATTCCTTTGAAAAAATTAAATCTGAAAAATTTCATACACTCACTGGTTTTAAATAATGATTGACATTTTTTTTTAATCGCCATCACCAGTCTACAGAAATTAAATATGAAGAAAGTTAGGTGGTCGCAATATCACTGAATGGTAAAAGGAGATGCAAGAACTGAACCATGGGAATATTTTTTAAAAGAATACATCAATGTTTACATACTAAGGTGTCTTGGAGCAGAGGAGTAAAAACAGGTGTGAAGTAAACAAACGAAGCCTCGGGTCCTTCTGTGCCTGCTCCTGGCCTTACGAGTGGGTGCATAGAGGAAAGACAAAGTGAAGAGATACCAGGAGAAAGTGACCATCTACAAGCCAAGGAGAGAGGCCTGGAACAGATCCTTCCCTCCCAGCCCTCAGAAGGAGCCAACCCTGTTGACACATTGACTTCAGATTTCCAGCCTCCAGAACCGTGGGCCAAGTATCTGCTCATTAAGCTAGTTGCCTTGTGGTACTTCCTTAAGGCAGCACTAGGAAATGAATACAAAGGGTTTATCATGGTTGAAAGTCCACATTCTTAGGGCGTTTTGGTGGTAACCTATGCTGCCCAACCCACTGCACTGCAAACTGGTTTTGCAGGAGCTCAAGAAAGAGCTCAAAAGAAATGTGAGTTTTTGCATTTCCACTGATGTGTAAGACCAACCAGGAAGCTTTGAGAAGACAATAGACAAAAAATTATTCATATTGTCACAGTGGGGAAAGACTTAAGAAGATACCAAATACATTAACAATAATGTAAAACATTGATAATTGTGACTACATGAAATAGAGTTTCTCACCTTTAAAACATACTATAGAATTGAAAAAAGCAAGCCACAAAATAGGAGATAGTCACAATATTTAAAAATTACAAAGACTCTACTCAGATATATGATTAACTCAAAAGATCAATAGGAAAAAAAAAAGTCAGACAACCCAATAGAAAATGGGCAAGAGACTTTACACTTTATGAACAAGGAGGTCAAAACAGCCAATCAATTATGGAAAGTGTTCACCCTCTTTAGTTATCAGATTTATGCAAATTGAAACACACTCCTCCCAGTCTTACCCTCCAATCACAATGTTTGAATGTTTAAAAGTTTGAGAACACCGAGTGTTAACAAAGATGAACTCTCAGAAACTGCTGGTTGAAAAAATACATTACTACAAAATGTTGGAACATGTGACATAATAAAGGTGAAGAAACACAAGCCTTTGAACTAGGATTCCACTCTGAATATAATCCTCTAGAGAAAAATCATGCACATTTGTACATGGGATTCATGTTCAAGGATGTTCTTTGCAGCATTGTTAATATTCACCAACCAGGAAACACTCAGATGCCCTTCAACAGTAGAATGGCTAAACCACCTGTGAGATTTCACGTAATGACGAATCAAACAGTAGTAAAAGTGGAGGACCTGCAGTTTACGTGCAACCATATGGATGAATCTCCTAAGCATATTGTTGTGTTAAAGAAGCAAGATGCAGAAAAATACACAAGTGTGATTCTAATTATGTGATTCAAAAACAAACCAAACTAACCTATATTGCCTAGGGATATCTACCTAAGTGGTAACACTATAAAGAAGCAAGGGTGGGTTATCACAAAAGTCAGCATAATGTTTACCTTTTGGTGAAAGGTCGGGGATTGTAATTGGGGGGGAGGAAGAGGAGGCAGCTGTAGGAGGGTAGCAATGTTCTACTTCTTGACCAGAATGATGGTTCTAGGGGGGTTCGCTTTCTAATTATTCTGTAAACTGTATACATGTTTCTGTAAGAAAGTTACATTTGACTATAAAAAAGTAAAAAGAAGTCTATCTCTAAAATTATAGTTTTCATCCCTGAATTATCCCATTATTTTTGCAAATGGTGCTTTCTAGTAGTGACTGAATAAATCAGCACAATAACCAAGCCACACATGATGCTTCATTTTGCCAGTAAAAATTCCCTATAGTGGTGGAATCAGATAAAAATAAAAAATTTGCTTTGAATCCTAGGTTGGATCGTTAAACGCATGCTTCCTTGCAAAGAGGAATTTCCAAGTTGATGTCTATGAAGCTAGAGAAGGTGAGACAATACTAAAAATGGTGAGATGTGGCTCTCATCCTCTGACCTCTTTCTCTTTAGATATTAAAAAGATTTTTTTTAAAAAACTGTTCGAATTTTTTAAACCTCAACTATCTAAATTAATTTAATACAAATGTACTATTATTAGTATTTTCTTTTTTAAAAAAATGTTTTTATTTTTTATTTTTATTTTTTAGAGAGAAGGGAAGGGAGGGAGGAAGAGAGGAAGAGAAACATCAATGTGTGGTTGCCTCTTGCACGCCACCTACTGGGGACTTGGCCTGCAACCCAGGCATGTGCCCTGACTGGGAATTGAACCTGCGACCCATTGTTACAGAGGCCAGCACTCAGTCCACTGAACCACAACAGCCAGGGCGTATTTTCTTTAAAAGAGTTAACTTAGGTCTTTTAATTTGGTTCTGACCAAACCAGTTGTTCATCCTGTCCTCAATATAAGGAGACATGTGTAACGTGGAGTCTATTTCCAATGTCTTAGATATCCGAGAGGTCAAAGCTGCACGTGGAAGAAGCATTAACTTGGCCCTTTCTTATAGAGGACGACAAGCCTTGAAAGCCATTGGCCTCGAAGATCAGGTACCCTGTTAATGCATTTTCCTTATAGAAGACACCACCTGCTGTTTTCCAACAATCGCGTGGTCTTGATTTTACCCCAGTGCAAAGGACTATCGAATGCCAAGAACCTCTGCTGCAGGCTCATTCTATAGAGGTTTTCAAACCTCTAAATTTGGCAAGAGGGTGAACACTTGGCACTTGAGGTACCTCCTGACCTGGGGCAGGAGATACTGCAAGCCCACCTGATAGTTACTTCTGACGTGGGCTCTCAACAGCATGGTAGATCTCTGCCTACAGAATGTGAAATCTGAGTGACATCAGATGGTGAGAGGCAGGCAAACTCCATACTTTTGACCATACAGGTCCATAATCTCTTATCCACAATTCTGTGCGGCAAAAACCTCTGAAAATAGAAAACTCTTCGTTATCCATCCAGCAGAAAATTGACCTTATGGAAGACTTTTTATGGCCTAACCCATTTTTTCATTCAGTGTCGCTATGTTTTACTGGAGAAATAATGTTTCATTATGAGGCAGTGTCCCAGACTCTGCTGGCTCTGTGATTGCCACATATACACTAAACTACCTCTCGAAAATTTGAAAACTTTTGAATTCTGAAACCAATGGGCCCTAAGATTGTGGATGAGGATGATTGGCCTGCAGTAGATTTTTCTTACATGGCCTTGATGTCGCTGAACTACCTGTCTACCATGCAGCTTGAAAATGTGAACAGAAATAATGCATTTTTTATTGGACTTTTGCTGACAATGGGCCTTCAAAATGATAACGTAAGTCCATATAGGTTCTGTTTGCATTTCTACCCTTGTCTCAGGTCTGTGCATAGAAAAACACTGAACTGGGTTTCAGGAGCCCCGGGTTTTACTCCCCAGGCGCTACTCTCGTTGGTGATCATGAGAAAATCACTTCACCTTTTGGACAATGAAACTCTTGCCTCAGATGTCATATTAGATTTAGACCCAATAAACTTGAAGTGAATTCCAAAATCTAAAGTTTCAAAAGAACGCAAAATCTAAAATTTGCAAGAACACCATTTTCATTGATTAATTCCACCATACTGTGCTTCCATGGTTCTTTATATTATTTTTTAAATATTTTGAACATATTTAAAAAGCACACTTTAAAACTAGTACCTATATTACTTGCCTAATGCCAAGTTACAGAAATTGAAATTGGCATTTCTGGTTTTATTGCAGATTGTAGCTCAAGGTATTCCCATGAGAGCAAGAATGATTCACTCTCTTTCAGGAAAAAAGTCTGCAATTCCCTATGGGACAAAGTCGCAGGTAGGTTGACACTGGAGGTACTTGCTTGGTCATAGTTGAGTCTGAAGTCTATAACTTGCCATTTGGTCCCATCTTGGACATTTCCTGCATCAGCCTAGAATTCAGGAACATAAACCAGTTAACAAGTTAATTTACATGAGGCGCTTAAAATAGGGCTCTGTCCTTACTGAACACCCAAGAAGAGTTAGTTATCGTTGTCATCACTACTAGGATGTTTTTGGCCTCTACGCTTTGCTCTACTGGACACCTTTCCCCTCCCATCTCCTTTCAGTTCCGCAGAGAAAATTGCCCTGTATTTACATGATATGCATAATATGCAGAAACAACTTGAGAGGGTTTTATGGTGTTACCTACCCTGACTCTCTCAGGCAAATTATAACAGAATTTATAGAATAAACCCAAAATGCTTTCAGTGTTTATAATTTCTAAAACATCAGAGTACAGAATGTGATGTAGCATTTATCAAAACAAATCCATGTTCTCATTTTGTGTTTTCTTATCTTTTATACAGTAACATACAGTGTTGGGCGAAGTATGCATTTTTATCTAGTTGTACTTTCTAAGTTTGTTTCTTTGGGAGAATGAATGTAGCAAACAATCAATCAATAAGAGAAAAATTCCAATTTGCTTTATTCAGCAACACCTCATTTTAAGTGTGGAACCCAAGTGAGATTCATATTCTTCTGAGTCTCTGAACGCCACCGTGCCCCCCAACCGGCCCAGACCTGCCATTGCAGGTATAACAGTGATGGTCAGACTCACCTGGGGTCTTATTAAAATGTAGTCAGATTCTGTGTGGCTGGAATGGAGGCTGAAGTTCTGCAACCCCCAAACACTGAGGTGCTTTCCACGCTGCTGGTCCACGGACCACACTTGAGGTAGGGAGTAAGAGATAGAGCACATGCTCATGGGACCAAGGTCCTCCCAGATCTTGTGATGATAAAGTAGCTGAAGCAGCTCATATCAATTATGATGGCTACTATCAGAAGCAAAAACAAAGATAGAAAATAAGGACGTGAAGAAATAGAAACGAATCCTGGTGCATTGTTGGTGGGAACAGAAAATGGTACAGACGCTATGAAAACTAGTGTGGTCGTTCCTCAAACACTTAAAAAATAGAGGTACCCTATGACTCAGCAATTCCACTTCTTGGTGTATATCCAAAAGAGCCAAAAATAGATACTTGAATACCCATGTTCACAGCAGCATTTCAATAGTCAAAAGGTGGAAGCAACCCAAGTGAGAAAATAGAATATACATACACATATATCTTTGCCCTCGGCTCCTGGCACAGAGTTCTACAACCCTTGTGATTTCCAAAGTGGCAAGAGCACCAGGAACCTCTTTTCTTCCAATGTTTGGCCTGTGACTCCAGTTCCTGACACAGGACTCCTCGATCCCTTGGAATTTCCTGGGTACTAGGAGTGTCTTTTGTTCTGAGGAGGTGACTCTTGGTGGACGCCTGGGTGGGGGCCAGTCACCCGAAAGACCAAGCTGTGATTAGAAGCTGGGAATTGTCAGCTCTAACCCCCATTCTATAGAGAGGAGAGTGGGTCTGGAAATGGAGTAAATGATCCATCACGCCTGTGCGAGGAAGCTCCATAAAAATCCCCATCGATGGGGTTCAGAGAGTGTCCAGGTTGGCGAGCCTGAGCAGGTGCTGGGACGCGGGTGCCCTGGAGAGGGCGCAGCAGCCCTACGCACCTCTCACGTGCCTCCCCCTGCCTGTCTCTTCCGTCTGGATGCTCCTCTGCATCTTTTATCGTTTCCTTTTGTAAATACACTGGTGAACAATAAACCATTTTCCTGAGTTCTGTGAGCTGCTCTAGCAAATTAATCAAACCTGAAAAGGGGTCCTGGGGAACCTTTGATTTCTAGCCAATCAGTCAGGGGTGCAGGTGACAAACTGGACATATGATCGGCATGTGAAGTGGGGGCAGTCTTGTGGGATGGGGCTCTTAACCTTGGGATCCGAGGCTAAGTGCAGACAGCTGGTGTCAGAATCGGATTAAATTATAGGACACCTAGTTGGGGTTGGTCAGGGGAAGGTTAAAGAGACACCAGGACAATTGTAGGTTTTTTATGCAACAGACACTGGATACTATGCAGCCTTTAAAAGGAAGGGACACGTGCTACTACATGGAGGTACCTTGAGGACTTTATTCTCAGCAAAATAAGCCAGTCACAAGAGGACAAATACTGTATGAGTCCACTTATATGAGTTCCCTAGAGTAGTTCAATTCACACAGACAGAAAAGTAGAACGGTGGTTGCTAGGGGCTGGGGAGATGTGGAATGGAGAGTTACTGTTTACTGAAGACAGACTTTCAATTTCAAAAGATGAAAGTACTATAAGGGGACTAAATGGTAATGGAAAAAAATACCATAAAGATTACATTTAAAAAAAAAGTTCTGTGTGTGGATGGTGGCGATGGTTGTAACAACATTGTGGGTGCACGTAACGCCACTGAGCTGTATATTTAAAAATTGTTTTAAGATGGTAAAGCTTCTATCATATGTATTCTGCAACAATTAAAATGTGTTTAAAAGGTGAGTCCAAAGTAAAACATTCTAAGAATTAAGGGCTTTGGGGGAAGAGGTAGCAGGGAAGAATAAAAATGTCTATTTAATGACTTTTCAGAAATAATAGCCTGCTTATTTTGGCATTTTAAAAACATAGGTACAGAGTCTTCATTCCTGAGTCTAGAAGGGGAATGAAGGGGAAGAAAGTCCACTGACCACCTGTAGTCAACTAAACATTTTTAGATAATTAATATATTCTGTTTAATTGGTCCCAAGTTGCGCTTGGTGTTGCAGGAAAGAAAAGAATCACCTCTTCTAAATAGGCACGTATAAGCTGTGCTAACGGTGGGGGCTAAAAAATATTAATGCTTTTCCTTCCACCTTCTAAATTCTTCTGCCTGGGCTAATAACCAAATTAACAGAGACAGATTAACAGAAGAAAATCGAAGTTCAATACACGCACATGAGGAATTCTCATAGACATAAAAAATCCATGAAAATTCCAAGGACAGTGAAGCAACATTGGATATATAAGACATTTTTTGGACAAGAAAGAAAGGGATGAGAATGGGCGACTTACAGGTAGTTGAGAAAGAGTTGGAACACACATGGCAGGAAAATCCTCGCTAGGCTCAGGACAGCTGGCAATCAAGTTCATTGCGAAAAGAACTCAGCTGTGTGGTTCAGAGAGGGAGGAAAGCTTTGGTTTCTAGAGAAGTCTTCACAGAGAGAGTGAAATTTGAGACAGACAATTTGCTGAAATCTTAACTCAGCAGTAAGATAGTATCATCCCAACCAAGTGAGGGTCTATCAATGGAAGCAAGCTGGGTGAGAACAGACTTCTAAAAAACACAAATTTTCAAGTGCCAAGTGTGTATTGGATGAGAAAGTGTGTAAATGCACTTTCACATAGCAGACTCTGCCAGTGATCGGCAACCTTAGATTCACTGGCTCCACCCACCTGCTTTACAGGTGAAGACAGGAGCTGCACGAATGCTTGAGGTCAGGGTCAAAGGGAAAATGAGGCAGGTTTCCTCTGAGACAACAGCCAGCAGGGTGTGGTGTCCGGGGGCCCTCCCGGATTGCTGGGCAGCACTGCTTCATTCTGCTACATCTATTACTAAATGGAGCACGACTTGGGATGATCATCCCCTCTTCCTCTTGGATTAGCGTGGAACGTGCTGAGGAAGGCCAGTGCATCACATCCATCCTCTCGGCAAAGAGCGAGCCAATAAAGTGCAAGCAGACCAAGGAGTGAGATATGGCTCAAAGTGGCATCAGGAAAGCTAGAAGAGGGGACTGACGTGGACCCGAGACTAAAACCGGCTTCCTTATCTGTACCACCTGAGAGGGACAAACAGAAGTAGCTTCATCACCGATGATTTTCCAACACGGTGACAGTGTCAGTGGGGGGTTCCATTTGGGGGCTGTCCATACCTTCAAAGGAGGAGGAAATGACTCGTCTCCCACCAATCCTGCCATTTCTCAGTCCTTAAGAATTGAGTTAATGCTAAATTTATAGCCGCCCCTCTTTCTTTGGCTTGCAGCATTGTTTTTATGTCTGAGTCGAACACGGGAGCCTCCTTATCCTTTAAGATTGCTTCGAATTGCTTAATTCTACACCTGGGGAAGTCCAAAGCCCTCCCCATGACCCCAGGGTTTCTATGGGTCCCCAGGGAGCCTACCTCCGATTGACCTCCTCTGCCTCTTGGTGTCCACTCCCTGTCCCCTAGTATTGACTATATACCGCGATGATCCAGACAGGAAGTCCATCTCTTCCACCAATTTCTGCAAACAATGCTCAAAAGACACACGACTGTGCTGAAGAGCTGTGGGTCCCCCAGGGCCTACATTGCACACACAACAGCAAACAACCTTCAAGTCCCTAATGGGCAGAATTTAATCTCCAAAATCCATTCCGAATCCTTCTCCGAGCTGAGCCTCCCTCCTCCGGCTCTTTTCTCTGCCCTTTCTCCCTGCAGCAACCACAGGCTCCTCTTGTCTTGCTGATCCCTCCCTTCTCCCTCCCAGAGTGCCCTGGGAACTATCAAATCATCCCCTAGTGTACAGAGCGGGTCAGAGCTCCCCAGTTTTTACTTCTAATCTCCCAAGCCCAAAACGATGGCGCTCCCTTACTAAGAAACATTCTCTTTTGAAGGCATTCAGTACATAGAATGTGAACATTTTTTCCTCATATATTTAAACAAGTTAGCACTGCAAACTTTGTCTCACAGATCTCCAAAGGAGATAGTCCAACTCCCTTTAGATGATTACTCTGATCATTATTATCGTTATTTTGGTTATAAGAGCCATTGTAGAGCTCTTGACTTATTTATTTATATTTATTCTTCGTAAGATCGACCTTTGAGAACAGGGAGACTTCGTGGCAGTGACTCTGTCTTTCGATTATGAAACAGTACCAGCCAAAGACATAGAGTAGACCAGACAGGGACCCTCCCTGCAGCCTGGGCACTGATATGGAAAGAATATCTTCCCCAGGTAAACAAGCCTTTGTAATGAAAATGTTACCTAATACACTTGGAATAACAAGCGTGGTTTCCATGGGAATGAGGCCATCCGTGGCATAGAAGACTGTAAAGCAGAGCTAGGAGAGGGACAATTAATAGATCCCTGTGAATTTCAATGTAGAGCAAAGACACAGGGAGCTCTTTCTCAGTCATTTGCTCTGTAGCATGAACTAGTTCTTTTTATACCAAGCATAGGAGGAGCTGCTCATTTTAAACGTCTCTGCATTTGGATGAGGTGAAGATTCATAAAGTAGTATACTTGTGTTCAGTGGGATATATGACCCTGTGCGGAAAGCTGCATGGTTAAATTTTTCAAAGCGATGGGCACCCCGCCTTGCCAGGCTGCGGTGCGCCTTCCGCGGGCTCTGGGTAGGCAGTCATGCCAGCGCCGTGGGCCCCTGCCTCTGTTAAACAGTAAGTAGTAAAGATCAGATTTTATGAGCGCATTGGTATAAATATTAATGTACTCTAGGCTGGATTCATTCTTTATATCCATTGTACTAATTTTTTTCTTCCGATTTTAAAATAAACTAAAATTAAAGCATTTTCATGGACCCCTAAAGTATGGTGGGCCCTACGTACAGCGTCTGCCGGGCCTCACGGAACAGTCATGAACTGTCCTATAAAGTCACAGACAATCAACATGTGTCCCAGAGAAGCTTGATCCACTCTTACCAACCCCATTCTGGCTGCCTCCTCCCCGCACACACTCTTTTGCATTGAAACAAAGGCCTTTTGGAAATGGTACATTTATTCTGGTGATGTTGTCAATTCTAAAGTTCTTTTAAACAGCTTAATTTGGAGGCCTAAGCCAAAAATATGAAATATATAATTTGCTGTTAAAATAAAACTATCTTAGTGAAAATATTTTCCTACAAGAGGAGGGTTTGGTTTTTATAGTATCAAATTTTGAAAAAGCTTAAGTTTAAACTTAAGCATCATATTATATATATTTGGTTAAAATATTTAATATTTTAAAGGCTACTTAGCTGAATGGTCACAAAACTAAGATTGCAACCTTCTGCTAAATAAGAAATTGTTCTTATTTCTGAGTGAGTAACATAGAATTATATTTGCCCATTCTCCAGAAACAAACAGTATCTACTATATTTTTCTTGCAGTATATTCTTTCTATAAGCAGAGAAAATCTAAACAAGGATCTATTAACCGGTAAGTCCAATGCTTTATTTACCAGTTGTCATTTTGAGTATAGCACATGAGACTAATCTTGTCACATGATTTATTGGGATTTGTTTACTATTTCTTTTTGTGATTATTAAGAGCAGGACCGTGCATAGTACCAAGTCCTTCTTGAAAAGTAGCAGTGATACATCCTCTGGCATCTCTTTTTCATCTTCTCAATAATCTAAATGAAAATCATTTGTTCAACGGGCACTGAATTCCTGTTGTCTTAAGGCACTGGAATGAATGAGTGCCCTCCCTGATGAATAACGCACAGTCTAGTGTAGCAATAGATAGGCTCTCATGATTTGCAAAGTGATACAATTACATTTGCATTTCAGAAAAACAAAAAGCAGTAGTATGGAGGCTAATAGGAGGCCTCAAGATTGTTGGGACAATCTCTGTGTGCAAAAAATGAGGCCCTGGACTAAAGTTATAGCAACATGGTTGGAGGGAAGGATGCAGATTCGTGGTATTCATAGGAGACCCAATAGAGAGCGAAGGAGCTTGAGAAAGAGGAATGTGTAAAATATAACCCTGGGGTTTCTAATGTAACTAAAAAAGGTCTAGTCATTGATGGAAAAGCCCCTGGATTGGTAATTAAATCTGTAGCTTGGCTAATCAATCCAGTCACATCCCAGGTAGCCCTTGATCAGGAGTAGTTTTTTCTCCTCTCCAGCATTTGTACCAAACATATTTACTCCCTGCAAAGCATTCTCCTTAAGCAATTCTCCTGTCTCCTAAATCAGTCTGTCTTGAGCAGTCTCAACAGTCTCCACGGGATTTATCTGTTTCTCCACAGTTCCCCACCCAAAGCCCATTTACAATATGTCTGTTGAATTGAATTGAATTGAACTGGAAAGAGGAGTGATGGGAAAGTCATTCTAGGTGATTCAGCAGGGGCTTAAGAAATAGGGCTTAGTATGCTTAAGTCAACTTCTTTACCAACATTTGTAAGACTGTCTTTTGGATGCGCAGATGGGTGGGTGGGGCTAGGTGGCTAGATAGATTCATGTTATTCTTAAGAAAATAAAAAGAAATAGCTTTATCATACTGTTGTAAGTAAATGACTAATATTTCAACCTGAGCAAGTGAAATGAAAATTGGAATTTTATTTTTGTTTGCATTCTTTGTTTCCTCAGCTGTTGAGAAATATCCCAATGTGAAGGTGTACTTTGGCCACAGGCTGTTGAAATATAATCCTGGAGAGAGAACGATCACAGTGCTTGGGTAATTAGCTGGCAGCCTTTTGACTTGAGAGGGAAGAGTGAAGATTTGGAGTGGAGAACTGTATCTGTAAACTTTGGTCTTTGGCTCTTTTGAAAGAGTTAAAGGATTACTAAAAGGCCAGTTCAACTAGGTTCTAGAGTCGCTGAGTTTTACATTGAAAATAGACTTTATATGCCCTCTGCCTAGGATGCCAACAATACTCCTGGTCACTCAAACTCCCATGGTCTTCCGCACTGGGGACCCCACTCTGCTTCACGCTCTCTCCTCCCTAGAAACAGATGATCCTCCACAGCCCTGCTTGTCCTCTCCTCTCTCAGGATGCTACCTGTCTGCTTCTCCTTAGCGTGCTCTATTGCCTCTCAAGTGCCAAGCCTCATGTCCCACTCTTGCGATAAGTCATGGATTCCCAGTCCATTCCATAACCACTTGTAAACACACATCTCTAAAATGAACCTTTCTAGCCAAGGCCTGTGCCTTCATTCTCAGTCCTAAACTCAGTCCTAGTCAATGTTAATTTCTCATTAAACATCTTCATAAGTACCGGGACCTCTTGCCATGACCTCAAACACATCTGAAACCTTGATCGTCTGTTTTTCTCCAAGCATGTCCCACTCCTGACGTCCCTAGTTCTATCACCAAGGTAATTAGAGTCACTGTCATGGCCCCCTTTCTCTATTTTCTCCTGATTTTTCTGCTTTTTCCTGAGCACCACAGTCCTTGGCTGTCACCCCTGCTGTAGGTAGGCTACTGCGGTCACCTGGTCCCATCTCCTTTCTCTTCTACATTCTGCCACCTCTTCAAGACACCTACTGCAACTGAGATTAAGTTGCCCCTTTTCAAATATCATCCACGCAAATGAAAAAAATTCCATTTTCCCCTTGTGCCAGGGGAATATATTTAAACCTTTTGTCTTAATATTCAAAATTATCTTCCCCCTTTTTGCCCTCCCCACACTGCGTTCTTTTCTTAAGCTTATCTCCTGCCACCCTCTGCTCAAGCCAAACGAACGTAGTGCTCCTAAAAAATCCTGGTGCCATCCTTGCAGTGGCTCATATGTGCCCTCCACTTGGGACATTTTGCCTTCTTTTCAAGATTCTCTTCCTTCATGCGGGGAAGTCAGCTCTCAGACACACTTCCGTGGCCTAGCATGCCTTCGCTAATCCATATGGTTGTGTGTTATTCTCGTTCTCAGAGGAAAACTTGTGTTAGGGGTGAGTATTGCCATCTCTCTAGATATCAACTCAAAGCTGTAAGTCAGATTTGTAAAAGGGAGTCGTAGCCTCCTTGACTTGCTACTTTTTATACCCAAGTGGAGGTACATGGTCCTTTTCACCACTTAAATTTGGATGGTTTGTTTTATTTTTCAGATCTGACAAAGTTCCCAAAGATCTCACTTGTGACCTCATTGTAGGATGTGATGGTGCCTATTCAACGGTCAGAGCTCAGCTCATGAAGAAACCTCGCTTTGATTATAGTCAACGGTACATTCCTCATGGGTACATGGAGTTGACCATTCCACCTAAGAATGGAGATGTAAGTCTTTCTCTTTCTGGTCCCCTTTCCACATACCCTACATCCTATTAATTAAAGGCATATTCTAGTGCAGTTGTTCTCAGTCACATGTCTTAGTTTGGGCGTTTAGCAAAGTATTTTGTGATTAATAATAAATTGGTCTATAGGTGTGCCTTTAACAATATCACTCTCTCTCCCTTACCTTTTGCTATACCTTTCTAAGACGTAAAGAAAGAGAGGAATTACAACTACCTTACTGGAAACACACAAGGAATTTGTCTCAGATATCAGTATCATTGTTCCATTTTCTCTTGGGAGAGAAAAATGGGGTGGGAATCAATTCTATACACTGACAATTGGGAGTTCTTGTCTTCCTGATTCAATTAATAAGAGTTATTAAATACAGTGAATAGCAAGTTGTTGCAAAAGGATTTCCAACGAGTTTTTAAATTGAATTTATTGGGGTGGCATTGGTTAATAAAATTACATGTTCTCGGGAGCACAATTCTATAATACATCTTCTGTATATTCAGTGTGTTCACCACCCCAAGTCAAATCTCCTTCCATCACATTCTACCTCTCCCCTCCCCCTTTCCTTCTGGCAATCACTATACAGTTGTCTCTGAGTGTTTATTTATTTATTTTTGCTTAGTCCCTTCACCGTTTTTACCCAGCCCTGAAACTCTCCTATCCTGATAGCTGTCAGTATGTTGTCTGTTTGTGATTCTGCTTTTACTTTGTTAGATTATTTTGTCTATTAGATTTATATGAGTGAAATCATATGGTACTTGTTTTTCTGACTGGCTTATTTCATTTAGCATAAAGCTCTCCAGGTCCATGCTGTGGCAAAGGGTAAGATTTCCTTCTTTTTACACCAAAGTAATATTCCATTGTATAAATGTACTACAGTTTTTCTATCCACTCATCTACTGATGGACACTTGGATTGCTTCCAATTCTTGGCTATTGTAAATAGCGCTGCAATGAACATAGGAGCGCATATATTCTTTCAAAAGAGCATTTTGAGTTTCTTCGGATATATTCCCGGAAGTGGAATCACTGGGTCATAAGGCAGTTCCATGTTTAATTCTTTGAGGTATCTCCATGCTGCTTTCCACCGAGGGTGCACCGGTCTGCAACAGTGGACGAGGGTTCCCTTCCTCATGTCCTCGCCAGCACTTGCTGTTTGCTGATTTATAGGTGACAGCCATTCTGACAGGTGTGAGGTGGTATCTCATTGTGGTTGAATTTGTATTTCTCGAGTGATTAGTGACATTGAGCATCTTTTCATTTGTCTGTTTGCCGTCTGTATGTCCTCTTTGGAGAAGTGGCTATTCAGGTCCTTTGTCCATTTTTTAATTGGATTATTTATTTTTTAGTGTTGAGTTTTATAAGTGCATTATAAATTTTGGATTTTAACTCCTTATCAGATGTAGCACTGGGGTTTCTCCAAGAGGTTTTCTTATTCCCTTGTTCCCATGTTAATCCGTATATGGCCTGAAGCAAATATGTGATATGTATATTTTATATTGTCATAAGCAAATATGTGTGGGAATTTAATAAGGAGTTATGTTCTCCAAGGGGTTTTCTTATTTCCTTGTTCCCATGTTAATCCGTATATGGCCTGAAGCAAATATGTGATATGTATATTTTATATTGTCATAAGCAAATATGTGTGGGAATTTAATAAGGAAGACTAAAATATCAACAAAAGGAATAAGGATCTTGGCTTATAAATAAGGATAAGTAAACGATGTTAGTTAAATACTTAATTTGCATATTAAACATCCATTTTTAAGGCATGGATTTAATCTAATGAAATTCATCATGAAATTCAGATATCTGTAAAATAGCTAGTCAATTTGGGATAGTGGTATTTTATACCAGTTATATACCAAACTCTATCCATCAGTCAAATACATATTTTAAAATTATGTTGTCTTTCTATTTCCTCTTCCTGGTCAAAAGTGTGTTTACTAATTCTTCAATGCTGATTTTATGGTTTCAGGTAGATTTTATTTTCATGGCCCAAGAGCCAATAATTCTGAATTACAGGATTTTAGGATTCTATTGAAAATTACCCCAGACTTGCATGGAAGCATGTCTCCCAATGTAAATTTAAGATACCATTTATTTTCTAGTTATCTACATTTAATACTAATAACTAGTGCTTTACGAAAAAATTTCTACTGTTTTGACATACCAGCGTGACCCACACATAGGAGTATTTTGACATGGCAACAAATGAGTCTACCAAAAATTACCCTTCCTTCCTTCCTTCCTTCCTTCCTTCCTTCCTTCCTTCCTTCCTTCCTTCCTTCCTTCCTTCCTTCCTTCCCCTTTCTTTAATGTAACAGATACTATTGCTCCACCTGTAAAGACTGAATTGGGGATAAGAGATTGGGTGAGTGACAGAAGTGGATGAATGTTAGAGGGAAATGAATGGGAGGTGCATCGTAAAGCTGCCTTGGCACAGCCAGCAAAATTCTTTTGCTTAGACTTTATGTTTGGAGGGACTTTTGGCGAGAGGACCAATGGTGATTCCTACAAGCCTGACCTTGGGCAGCCTCAAGCTCTTCTGTTGAGAGCATGAATTGGTCATAAAAAGCTAAAATGTGAAGGGTTACCGTATTTTGCTCTGTATAATGCACACCCATGTTTTTGTGTGCATTTTACACAGGATTGTTATACCCATTATTATACCTTAGGTATGTAATCGTTATACCAAGGTATAATGCACATCCATATTTTTCCCTCACAAATTTGAGCAAAAAAGATATGCATTATACATGGCAAAACATTTTGCAATGTCATGAAACAGGTATGAACACCAAAATGTTCTTGATATCCTATTTGCTCTCTCAAAACAATGTATAACCCTTATCTAATGCCAACGGTGAAGACGGGAGGTGGGTGTTACCTTCCACACAGTTTTTATTCAGCAGTTTCAACCTTGATTATTGCAGTAATAAGAAATCGGTCAGCTGTCATTTGTCTGCTCCTTCTTATCTTTGGGAGCTCTAAAAGGCTGCAGAAGTGGCCAAAAGACAGCAAGAGGGACAAGCGGGGACAGTCGCCTGCCCGGGCTGCTTTCCTTCCTGCCAGTCTCAGACAGGCTCACTCACACAGCCTGCTCTGCTCGGCTAGTTGACCCCTCCCTTCTTTCCTTCTATAATCCATGAATTCCTTGTTTTAACCACTCCCGCCCCACAAATTTCTTTCTTTTTAAAATTTATTAATTCTTATTGTTTTTTTGTATTTTTAATTGTATTTTTTTCATTACTACTTACCTCCCTGCTCAGCTTTTCCTTCCTCTGCTTCTAATTTAGCAGCAAATTGCCTATTATCTACCACTTAAATTGCTGTTAAAGACAAGTTATTTGGCTTTTTATATGGAGGCAGGGTGCCTATTAAACTGCACTGTAAGATCTTTGAGGTCAAAGAGTTATGCATTTATTCATCTATGTCATATACACGTGGCAAGTACTTTCTAAAAGTTTGTAAAAAGTAATGCAAACCTGAAATAGCTGGAAAATTGATGGTGTGTTCTTGTATATATAAAATATCCTTGGGAAACTTTAGGGTTTGGGCCAATTGGGTCTTGGGTCCATTGACCTCCCCAAGGAATCAGTACTTCCTCAGGTTGTTATTGCGTTGTAGCGGGGTCACTATGGAGACCAGACCTCTCCGCTATTTATTTTATAGGAAACAAGAGATAAGAGCCTTGTTTGTAAAATTTGGTTTTGCCCATAAAATTTAAATTAGGACCTTTCTATCCATACAAGTAAGTCACTAAATAAGGTGAAAAAGCATAAAAATGTACACACATATACACATGTATATTCACACATATGTGTATGGGCATGTGTGCATGATTGTGTGTGTGTATGAAATTAAAACAAAGAAAGACAGAGAGAACATCTAAGAGCCTGTTCACAAACCTTCAGTTATACCGAGTATCAAAAACTCATCCTACTGACATACAGAAAATACGGTATTGATTTTAAACATTTTGAAGTCAAGTGATCAAGGACATTTGTAATAAAAGGCAATGAATGATTCTATTTGTAAAACACCTCACCTAAGTTTCAGTTTATAAAGACAGAACACAAAGTCTTTTCTAAGACTATTTCTACTTTATGTAGCAATAGATGTGCATAGCACCATGAATATGATACTGATTTAAATTGCTGTGGAAACAATTATAAAATAAGCACAGTCAGCTTTATAGAAGCATTGCATTAATATATTAACCAAGTATATATACATTTTTTTCTGCAGTATGCCATGGAACCGAATTATCTACACATTTGGCCTAGAAATACCTTCATGATGATTGCACTTCCTAACAAGGTAGTTCAGAATCTTTCATCAATGGTAATTTACATCTGTAATGAATGTTTTTTATTCATTCATGTGCTTTGTGTGTGTGTGTATGTGTGTGAGTGTATATATATATATATATATATCTACACACACATAATTAATCTCATCATTGTTTAATCTATTTAGTGATCACATCTTGAACTTTGGGATGACTGAGGAAAATCCTATTGGAAGTCACTCCGATGATGTACTTTGCAAAGGAGATTTAACACACATGGAAGACAACTGGGGGGTTGGTGTGGCAGAGCCTGTCACCTTTCCCAAGACACTGTAGGATGTAATGACACCCAAATAAAGCCAAAGAGGCTTCGGTTATGTGATAGGAAGTACTTTCAGCCTTTAAGATTGATAAAGCATTGGAATACAGATTATCAAACAGTATGGCTGTTCATTCATTAGACATACACTTTTTTGATATATAAATATATAAAATACGTACAGGGTCTGGCAGAAGTAATGCCCATTTGAGTGTGGTTGGTAGGGTAATAATATGGGTATAATAATTTGTAGTTTTAATTTGAACATTTCACCTAAAATGTCGCATGGTGTGTTTGAGTGTGATATTATTATGTTACAGTATTACATGCTTATGATTTTGTAATAAAAAGGGCATTATTTGGGTTGGGCCCTGTATATCATTGTTCTCATTTTATTGTTGTTGTTGTTATTATTATTATTATGTGGTATAGATAGATATAACTATCTGTTTCTCTGGTTGGTCTTTTTCTTTCTTTTACCTTCTTTTTTCCCTGTTATCAGGCCTCGGGTCCAATGCCTATTCATTCATACTGTCATAAAAAGAACAATAGAGGAGAAAAGAGGAGAAAGTAAATCCAACCAACCTATTAGTAACCTCAGCTGTAGTGCTTGCTTGGTGGAAATGTCTGGAATTTACAGGGTAGAAATTCTCCTACTAACCGAGAAGCTGGGGAGTAGCCCTGAGACGAGGCAGCGCTTTCCTTTGGGAGCCGTGGGAAAAAGCGAGGGCGCTTTCCCTGCTCGCTGGGACATTCCTCCCGGGTGCCTGTCCTGGCCACAGCAAGGACCTGTGGTGTAGGGACCCTCCTTTGTGTCCTCATCATGGTCTCCTCTTCCCTCTCACACTGTTCTTTTTCTCACAGGACAAGTCTTTCACGTGTACTTTGTTCATGCCCTTTGAAGAGTTTGAAAAACTCCAAACTAGTGGAGACGTGCTGGATTTCTTCCATAAGTACTTTTTGGACTCCATCCCTCTCATCGGAGAGTAAGTTTCAAGATATGCCATGGGCCCCACTGATTTGAGTTAGTCAAAATCCAAATGCAGGTGATGCACCTTATTTCAGTTTTGCTCAAACATGTCTGGCTGCGCGGCAATATAGACGTGAAGCCAATGTTAGCAAAAGTGCATGCTGTGCTACGAGCTGTTAGTTCAAGAAGCCCAGGCCCTGGCTGGTTTCACTGGGAAAGACAAGCCACCGATGTCCCCAGGCCTCTCTATATCCCGTTCAGGTACTCGGGCCCCCAGTAGATAAGCATGTCTGTGGCACAGCAGGTACCAGCAACCTCAGGTTCAGGTCTACCACTCACTAGCTGCGTAAGCTTTTGAACATCTCAGCCCCTCACAGTAAAATGGCGATAATAATAGTATTGTACCTGCCCCAAAGGACTAAAGGACACCGTGCCTATCAATGATGCAGCACAGGGCCTGGCACACAGGAAGTTCAAGGTTGATAGCTAATTGTGCTCACTGTCTGGTTTAGGGGCGCTGGCATCTAGGAACCCCTGTCCGCATCGCCCTCCCGGTGGACCTTTGTCATCTGCGGGCATTCAGGGTCGCAGTCCCCACTGTCTCTCCCCCGGGGATCCAGCTCACTCTCACCCTCCAGAGATGTCTTCATGGAGGCAGTGTAAGGCTGCAGAAAGGGCAAGATTTTAATGCTTCTCTACTTTTTACTTCCTTGAGTGTCAGGTTTTTTACTTTTAAAATGGAACCAGGATACCAATGTTTTAGGGCAGTTGCGAACATTCAGTGAGCTAACTTTGTAGAAGGGATAGCCCACTGCCAGCCCCTAGCAGGTCTTTGAAAAAGTGTCCATTTTCATCCTTTCCTGATGACTAATTCAGTTCAGCTCTCCCTCTCTGACCTTGATGGAAATCTGTCTGGCACTAAAACTTAACCCATGTTCCCATGGCTCTTTCTTGCCTTTTCAGCCAGATTTAAGATCCAGGTTTACATACTGTTTCTCTCATTAGAGCGTCCACAAAAACCTCTGTGGATGCTTTTCAAACGCTAGCTAGGATTACAACTGCCCACTTTCAAAGATATATAAATTCACATTAATTTTTCTTTTGTAATCCTACCTAGGATTAGAACTGTCCACTTTCAAGTACATATAAATTGACATTAATTTCTATTTTGGTTTGTTGGGGTTTAATCAAATGCACAGCAGCATCTTGATGTGTCCACACCCTAAAACCTACCAACGTCACTGAAAATTGCATGACCCACGTACAAGAGATTTTTATGACATATAATGCTGACCTATTTCAAATTATTGATGTGCAACCAGACGTGTTCTTTTAGAATGTGATCCACATTGTGGCAAATCAGGAAGGTAATTAGGATGATGAAACTTCAGTTCCTCCCTTTCCTGTTTTCTTGCTGGTGTTCTTGTGTATCTGTTCGTAAAATCCTACAGTCATAAAGCCAGTCAATGTGAAAGAATTGTGCAGCATTTCACACCCAACTGAACATCTTTACACTCTGTTTTTCTCTGAAGGCAAAACCTGACGCGAGATTTCTTTCTGTTGCCTGCCCAGCCCATGATCTCTGTGAAGTGCTCGCCTTTTCACTTTAAATCCCACTGTGTACTCATGGGGGACGCTGCTCACGCCATAGTGCCCTTTTTTGGGCAAGGAATGAATGCGGTACGTTCTTTTGTCCAGGTAAATCCCAACCAAAACATCTTAGGTTAAAAAAAGAAAAAAAACATTTGCAGGTCCTGGCCGGGTAGCTCACTTGGTTAGAGTGTTGTCCTGATATGCCAACGTTGCAGGTTTGACCCTAGGTCAGGGCACATAAAAGAAGCAACCAACGAATGCAGAAATAAGTGGAACAACAAGACAGTGTTCGTTTTTCTCTCTCTCCCCGCTTTCCTCTCTCCCTAAGAATTAATCAATATATCCTTGGATAAGAATTAAAAGAATAATGTCTAAAACTATCCCCACAGAATCTCTGAGAGCAGAATTAATTCAGATATCATAGCAGATGTTTAGACTTATCACTAACTATAGTCGTCTTGAATCACTTAATCCAGCACTTTAATGTAGGAAAAAAGCATTAAGCCTAAGATAGTTATTTACCATCTTAGTGAAGATAACTAACTTATCTTCATTTCCTTACCTATAAAGTTGGGATTTTAACAGTACCTGCTTCATAGAGATTCTTGTGGAATAAATGAATTAATTAAGTAAATAATTTAAAAGTGTTATTATCTCAGCCTTATATGCTACCTCTCACATCTAAATTAACAGTCTATATAATTGACAAGTAAATTTATTTGCTTCAGTGTAATCTCTATATTTGATGTGAAAATTACTTTATTTTTTAACTTTTACATACTTTATATTGTCTCCAAAACTATAGTCTGAATTCCTAGACAGCAGGAAACATAGCTTTTGATTTTCTCCTTCCCCATTGTATTTAACATAGTACCTTACTAATTTTGTAGAGTTCTTAATATTAGAAATTTGCTTTACTCTTGGCTTATAAGAACTAAATTAATATGAGAGTTCTAATCTATCATGAAATTGCTCTAAATATGAGTCTTGGAGACTGGAATAGTTTAAATATAATTCTAACACTCATGGTAGAGCAACATAATTATTCTTTCTTCTTGAAGAAGCAATGGAATCCATCAAAATTACAAGAGTAATTTAAATTTTGAACAAATTCCAAATCACTGTAAATAACATATATGAATTGGGCAAAGACAAAACCACCATGTACGCAGTTGATGGTCCTGAGAAATCTTCAGTCAATTCCAGGTGTGGACGGACTGGTCAGGTGCTCTGCACTGGCTGAGGGTAAACACCCCATGAACCGCTGGTAGAAGGCCTATTCAAAATTGCTAAGAAGTTTTTATTATTTCCAGTTTATTTTTTCCCCATTTTTCTTATTTCAGGGCTTTGAAGACTGCTTGGTATTTGATGAGTTAATGGATAAATTCAATAATGACTTTAGTAAGTAAAATTTCTCAAATGGACATGCACTGGCCTTGCTGGTTAATTGTGGACCTATTTCTGGATATCAGTAATAGGTCCACAAATAGGTCCACTGCATATTTCTGGTTCAAGACTATAAATGTTTCTGTTAATTGCCCCTGCTACTGTTGTTGCACATATCAGACAAGTACCCAGAGAGGGAAACATAGTGTTTTTTAAGCTTTGTACATGGAGGTCTATGCAGTGATCCATACGAAGGCAAAAGTGCTGAGACCAAAACTTGGTGGAGATGTGCTCTTTTCTGTCCCTTCCAATGTGGGCGTGAACCTGCCTGCACCCACTTCGGCAGGCCCTCAGAAACCCTGTTTGAAGCCCTGGCATTTTCTTGCTCTGCCTGATCAAAATTCCTCGTCTGATAGTTCCATTTGTCTTTTGATTAAAATGGATTTCACCAGTATGTTAATTTGACCAATTTAAAGTTTTAAATTTTGACATGTAATTCTGAAATCAAATGTACATAATTTTCATCTTATGAAATTGCCAACAATAGCCTAACACCTGAAGAATTTACTGCTTCCCAGCATCATATGTTCTCAAAGGCTCCCTCTGAATTTAACCCTGTGTCAAGTAAGGGATAGACTTAGAGAATTGGCTTTAAACCTCCACCGAGCTTCCAGTCAGGACTCACCCACTTATTAGCTGTGTGACCTTGAGCAATTCATATCACCTTACCTTTTGAAAGTCTCAAGTGTTCTTTTTTCCATCTCTAAAGGGGGAATAATAATAGCAACTTCAGAGAGTTGCTGTGAAAATTAAATAATTTGTGTAAAGCTTTAAAAAAAAAAAAAAGGCTGGCGCAAAGTAAGTGCCCAGCAAGAGTGTGTGATGGTCGTAGGAAGCCATTGGCACTGTGGGATCTGGGTCAGCAGAGACTAAGGCTTCCAGGCCAAGGAAGCTGTGATTTTCTCCCTTTCCTTCCCAGTCATTTCACTCGGGTGCTGGGGATCTAGAGGCATATTGCTTCCTCCCTTCTTAGCCCTCATGTGATTGGTTTCACCTGCTAATAATGATGAGGCGGATGGAGGGCACATGTGTCAGAACACACTGCCAATACTGGCTTTGCTTACTAGACAACAAAGATAAAACAATAGTAATGGGACAATAGTGATCAAAACTAACGTCACTGAACAGTTCATATGTGCTGGGTAACTTAATGTCCTTTCAATGCATTATGTCATGGGGTCCTCACTGAAAAACACGGGCATACGTACTCTTCTTGTCCCTCTTTTACAACTGAGGAAATTTAGACACAGAAGTGGTTGCCCAGAGTCATGCAGCCCAGAAGTCGCTACTTGCACCCAGGTTCTTGGACTATAGAGACAGCTTCCCAAATCACGAGAGTTGTCTGGCCATGTGAGAGTTATAATAGTTACTTGTTAATTTACCGGATACTTAGTTGGTAGTTAACATACCAGGTTAAGATTTCAACCATGAATAGAACATGGGGCCTGCTTCTGGAAGATCACAGCATAATGGAGGATCTGTTTTTTAAGCCAATAAGGTGTCATAGGTGCTGGGAATGATGATGCATCGAGTAGCAAGGGAGAGCACACAGGAGAAGAGCGAATTCTAAGCGGGATAGGGGTTGGGGGTCATGTACAGTCATATGCATGAACTGCATTCCATTTATGAAACAAGAAAGATAATGATTTACTAAACAACCAGTAATACATTATATGAACTTTACCATATGTTTTATTTAATCACAATAGGAAATACTTGTGTGTTATCTCTCAATATTCCTTGATTGCCTGGTTACCCATAGTTTTAAAAGGTTAGATAAAAGACACTATTTAAGTTTCCCTGAGTAGAATCCAGCATGTTTCTTTAAACCGTCTTGGAAAAATTGCATTATTTTACTTGGCTTCCAGGTATGTGTCTTCCCGAATTCTCAAGATTTAGAATTCCAGATGACCATGCGATTTCGGACCTATCCATGTATAATTACATAGAGGTGAGCAAGAGGGTATGGCTCTCCTCCATGCGGTCTTTCACTGAAACTCTGACAAGTGCTCTTTTTTAAACAGTTTAAGAATAGGTACAAAAGAACACACACACACACACACACACACACACACACACACACAGAGCATTCCTTACACACAGGTGGATTGTGATTGTGTACCTAGTAACAATGACCCATGCATATCATCTCCATCTGCACTTCAGTGACATTTAGGAGGTAACAGAGGTGACAAGTGTCTGGTTCAATCTCTGATACTTCACAAGCTCAAACCTTGGACATTGAGTAAAGTTTGCAATATGCCATTTTAGTGAAAATAGAACTTTAATATGGGTCAATACATTTGAAGACTGAGAAATGTTAAATGGAATTTCCGTTCCTAACATGATAAGCTGCACCCTTAGAGCCACATTGAATATCCTTCAGGATATTATACACTAAACAAACAAACCAACAAAGTAACACCAAAGAAATCATGGTCAGAAAATTAATAACCTGAAGAAAAACACAATTCCATTTTGAACCAGTCACATAAAGTGCTCACAATAAATTGTTGTGGTTATAGTTTTAAGTGTTTAGTTTAAATATATAGTTTAAAATTTTACAAGATAAATTTAAAGAAGAGAGTGTTGTTGTTTTCCTTCTTTTCCAAAGCCAGAAAGTAATAAAGTAGACTTCAACATGAGCAGAGCAATTTCCTATGTGGTGAAGGAAGTTCTATAATATCCTAAATGGCTCATTAATGCACCTTCCCTGTGTCTTTAAAAGCAAGACAACTACAACCAAGTATTTGTTCGGAAGGTGGAGGAGGTTTAAGCAGATCCCTTCCTGCCATAAACAGTATTCCAAACCAACCAGAAAGCAACAGAAATTAGTCAAATCATTGGGCTCACACATTACCCACAGATCCAGTTGTACCACAGCAGAGTTTCCGTACTGACCTCTGAGCAAAATAGAGTTCTCTAACAGATGGGGTATAATTGCTCCACTTTTCAAGATAGTGGCCTATATTATTGAGAATCACTAAAAGGGATTATGAATGACTATTTTGGAAATAATTTGACTTCTTTGTGTCTAGCTATATGAAGAATAAAAAGTATTAATAAATTATAATAAAGATATTAAGGCATTTTTCCGAGGTATTCTTTAAAACCCTTGCGTTATTGCAGATGCGAGCACATGTCAACTCAAGGTTGTTCATCTTCCAAAAGAAAGTGGAGAGATTTCTTCACGTTATCATGCCCTCTACCTTTGTCCCCCTGTATACCATGGTAAGGTCTGAACTTAAGACTTTTCCTTATTTTAATCTCTTGATTAGCCATTAAAGAATACACAGAGTACTGGTACTCTTTGAATTTTCTTACAGGTCGTATTTACCAGAATGAGGTACCATGAGGTGGTGCTGCGCTGGCGTTGGCAAAAAAAGGTCAGGACAGATTCAGCTTTTTTGTTTATTTGTTTTTAATCTGATGTGTTGATTAAAAACAGAAGGCAGCCTGCTGAGCAAACAAAAATACAAAGAGGCAAAGAGAGAGAGAGAGAGCTTTGGAAGGGAAGATATTAAAACAAAACAAAACAAATTGGTGCAAACTCTAACCTTTTTACTTTATTTTAGCAGAGTGGCTATTTCCTTTAATTTATCAATGGACTTTTGCATCATGTGATACTCTTATGGGTTTAATTTGTAAAACTGGACAAAAATAATTGAATTCTAATGTAATGCTATCCTACATTCATTTTGGGCAGTTGACCTAGAGAAGCCAGTAAATAGACATTCAGATTCCTGATCTTCCATTTTGGAAGTTTTACAACTTCATGTACTCAACAAATTGTTGTATTTAGTGTAGAGACTGAGCTTGGCAGGGTGGTGAACAAGGTGCAGTCCCTACCCTTCATGGAGCTCAGAGACTAGTGGGAGAATGAACAAGTGCAGTAGAAATGTACAAACGACCCATGGAGGAGAGTGAGAGTGGGCCAGACACCCAGAAGCGGAAGAAACCTCTCACGTGTCCAGAGTGAAAGTGGTGAATATTTCAGGGGAGCTGGAAGGGACAACATACATGTGAAAATGGCTAAAGGAAGAGCAGGAATGGGAAGAGAACCTTAAACATCTTTTTAAAAAAAATTATTAAGGTATCATTGACATTTAATATTATTTTAGTTTCAGGTATACAAAATAATGATTCACTATTTGTAAATATTGCAAAAGGACCACCATGATAAGTCTAGTTAACACCCATCACCACATATAATTAACAAAATTATTTTTTCTTGTGATAAGAACTTTTAAGATCTGCTCTCTTAGCAACTGACCAGGACTTACTTGCTCTGAGCTCCAGTGCTGGGATTGCAGCTCTAAGTGTGCCAGGGTCCTATGGAGAGGCAGGGGGCTGGCAGGGTAGCTATATCCCAGACAGAAGTGCTGGCAGAAGCTGTTGTTTCCTGGCTGAGCTCACCTCTCCCAACTGGGCCAGCAGAGACAGGTGAGCATCTTCTCTGAGTCTTTATCAGCCTGGCTTATACCTTTCACACCATTCACACTATTTGCCCCACCCTGGTGAGTCCTTGAGACCCCACCCTACCCAAATTGAGGGTCCACCCAAGCCATTTCCAGTGGCTTTTCCATGCAAATGACCTGTCTTGGCTTATATGGCAGACTTTTCTAAAATCTCCCAAAGGTTCACAAGCCCCAAACAAGCAGCACCTAGCCTCAGCATGTCTTGTACAGCTTGCTAAGTGGCCCCAGGCCCAGCACTAGCAGCAGACAGCCCTGGTTTGCATATTGGCCTCTCCCAGGCCCAGCACAAATAGAAGCCATATGCAGATTACTTTGTAACTCACGCCAGCTGGCCCCAGACAGGGCACAGGTGATGGTTGACCATGGCCTACATCTCGTAGGAGGCCCCAGAGCCAACAAATCCAATGGCCAACTTAAGACCATGCCAGAGCACGACCCAACCAGTTCCACCAGTGACGTATCAAGGGGAAGACTGGTAGGGCAGCAGACCCCACTGAAGCAAGTTTTTCTCTGTGGAGTAAGCTCCTGCACAGCAGATTCTCCACTGTAGTTGTAGCTCATCCTTGCAACCGATTGGTCTGGGGCTAAATCCTCCCCAATTATGTGCCAACAGCAGTCAAGGTTCAAATACAACAGAAGCCAACACAGCCAACACAGGGGCTACACCTGGAGCTCCCAGCTTGGATGCACTGCGGAGGCTGGGCCACTGGGCCTTACAGGACACCTACTACATAAGGCCACTCTTCTAAGCCTGGGAGACACAGCAGCTTTACCTAATACATAGAAACAAACAGGGAGGATGTCAAAATTAGAAGACAAGGAAACATGTCCCAAATGAAAGAATAGAGAAAAACCTCTAGAAAAAGAACTAAACAAAATAAAGACAAGCAATCTACCAGATGCAGAGTTCAAAACATTGGTTATAAGGATGTTTAATGAACTTAGGAAAAGAGTAGACGAACTGAGCGAAAACTTCAGCAAAGAGGAAACATAAAAATGGAGACAGAAAACATTAAAAAGAAATAGTCAGAAGTGAAGAATACAGTAATTGAAATAAAGCATGCATTGCAGGGAATCAACAGTAGACTAGGGGAAGGAGAAAACCAAATCAGTGGTTTGGAAAACAAAGAAGTAGAAAACACCCAATCAGAACAGAGAAAAAAAAAAAAAAAAGGATCCAAAACAAAATGAGGCTAACCAATGTCACCACAATAAATTTCATAAAACTGAAAGAAAAAAAAGCAAAAAAATGATAACAGTTTAAGGAGCCTCTGGGAATATATCAAGTGTACCAACATTTGCATCATAGGGGTGCCTGAAGCAGAAAAGAGCAAGAAATTGAAAACCTATTAGAAAAAATAGTGACAGAAAATTTCCCTAATCTGGTGAAGGAAATAGATATACAAGTCCAAGAAATACAGAGAATCCAAAACAAGGTGAACCCAAACAGGCCCACCCCAAGACACACCATAAGTAAAACGCCAAAGTTTAAAGATAAAGAGAGAATCCTAAAAGCAGTAAGATGAATGGAAGAAGAAGTGGTGCATGTATACAATGGACTATGACTCAACCATAAAAAAAAAAATGAAATATTGCCATCTGCAAAAACATGGATGGACCTAGAGGATATTTTGTTGAGTGAAATAGTGAGAAAGAGAAAGACAGATGCAATATGATTTCATTTATATGTGGAATCTTAAAAAAAAAAAAGCAGAACAGAAATAGACTCATAGATACGGAGAACAGATTGAAGGTTACCCGCTGAGAGGGGGTGGGTAAAAAAGGGAAAGGGATCGGGAAGTACCAATTGTTAGTTACAGAACAGTCATGGGGGTGTAAAGTACAGCATAGGGAATATAGTGAATAATATTGTAATAACTACATGTGGTGTCAGGTGGGTATTACATTTATAGGATGATCACATTGTGGTTTACATAAATGTCTAATCACTGGGTCCTACACCTGATACTAACATAATGTACATTAACTGTAATTAAAAATTTGTTAACTATTAAAAAATGGGCAGAACATCTGAATAGACATTTTTCCAAAGAAGACATACAGGTGGCCAACATGTACATGAAAAAGTGCTCAACATCACTAATCATCAAGGAATTGCAAATCAAAGCCATAATGAGCTATCACCTCATACCTGTCAGAAGGGCTTTCATAAGCATCTTGAATATTAACCTGAGGGAAACAGGGAGATTGAAGGAGGCTAATAAACTCAGGTGCAGATGTAGAAAGATTACTTTGCTGTGTGGAGAATGGATTGGAAGGAATCAAGTTTACTCATTCCAAGACGAATAAAGGAGGGCCTCTGTCCTCAAGAAGCTAACAGTCTAATAGGGGAAAGAGACGGTGACAGGCAGTTAGAATATAGGACAATAAGTGCACTGACAGAGGCCAGGATGACATGGGAGTGTACCTAACCCAGGCCAGAATGAACCTCACTGATGCAGTTGATATACTGCAGGTGGTAAAGATGCTGTGTTTAAACTCTTTGCGGGGGTGTATCTTCTGAGTCATTGAAGCCACCACGTCCATGACTCTTCCTATGGACACTTAATGCAAGGTCTGAGCAATGGATTGTTTGTGGCTTCATCACAGTGCCCTTCTAAGATAGCTCTTTTTCTAAACTGTCAATTTTTTAAATGACTGTGCAAAGGTTGACTGCTAAGAATTCCTTATACAGGACACATGGGTTCAGTTGTTTCTGGAAAGAGAGAAGGGGGAAGCTTCAGCCATTGAAAGACTACCTAGTGGTCATGAAATTACATTGCTATTTCAGGTTCAAGAACAAAGAGGGAATTGTGTACACCTTGGTCATTTAAGAACCAAGTTTGTTTCAAGATTTTAATCTCTGCACAAATAACATGAGAGTTCTTGCTCTCTCTACAGGTAATAAACAAAGGATTGTTTTTCTTTGGAACACTGATAGCCATTGGTACTACCTACCTGCTTGTGAGCTTCATGTCATCGCAACCCCAGGACTACTTGAGAAGACCATGGGACTGGGTCACTAACTTCCGGAATACAGGACATGTCTCCCTGCAAACCTCATGGGGGCTCTAGAACAAATCTCTAATGTCACTAGCAGGTGACAGAGATCCTGCAGTAGTCAATGTACTTGATTTCTCTGTAATCAAATGAAAGGATCAAAACCATGTTTCCTGTCATCAAATTTAATTAATGGAAAATTTTTGTGATCTTAGAATTAAATTCAGTGTAGAATTAAACTCTGTGTATTCACTGAAACTATATATTTTTTAAAAGCCACCACTTCAAGATGCAACAAGCAGCTTCCCACAACACTATGCTTACATCTAAATATAAAAGTGCAAAGACTAATACTGCTTTCACTTCTCAAAAAGTGAGGCTCTAGAGGTGTTAAGGAAGACACTGATCACACACTTTCTTTAAAGGATGTAACAGAGATCATGATAGGATTTGACTCAACACCTGGGATTAAATATTCCAATTTGCCTAACCTGTTAATGGCACTTCTGATCACCTGTATGGAACTTATCTAAGCACAGAGCTCAGATTCACTTGATTAAACTAGAAATGTAAATGAAAAATTGGGGGGGGCTTTATAGAGAGTTCACAATGAGTCGATATTATTTCCCAGTCTTCAAAGGCCAGTAATACCTTCTGAAGACTAGAAAAGTCTATTAATGCCATGCTAAGTGAAACACAGGAAAGGCTGCTTTTATAAACTAAGTATCTACATAGGCAAGAGAATAGAAAGGAAACAAAGGGAGATGGTATTTGTATAAATAGGACAGCATATTTTATTCCATTTCAGGCTTTTAGAAGCAAATTACTAACTTATTTATGAACCACTTACTGTGGCAGAACCAGAAATAAACTGATTTTTTTCGGTGAAAAATGTTTTCTTTCTTTCTTCTTCCTTCAGTAGGCCAACTGAATCACTTAGGAGTCTTTCAAACACAACTGATTATGAAAACGCAACACTAGTAGGGCAGTCATCCAAGAAATAAATATTAGGCAATAAAATAAATATAACCATTTATCACTGTTTCTCTTCCATAGTGTCAAAGAAATCCTTCAGTTCTAATAATGTATGTTTAGTCTAAACCATGACTCATGGAAAAATGGCCTCTACACTGTTAATTATCCCATAGCTTTATTGAAGAGTAATAAAGATTAAATAATATATTTTATTAGTACAGTTCTACACTTTCATCCCCCTTTGAAAGTAATTTGTTTGGTTTTTTGCAAGTCCTTTTTAAATCCAGAACTCTTGACAAAATTTTGGAAAATGATTAAGAGGAGAGATAATCTTGCCATGTTCATATCTGAAGACATACAGATTCAGGAGTGTCCAACCCGTGGCCCGCAGGCCACGGGCAGCCCAGGGTGGCTATGAATGTGGCCCAACACAAAATCGTAAATTGACTTCAAACCTTTTTTCCCCTCATCAGTTTCTGTTAGTGTTTGTGAATTTAATGTGTGGCCCAAGACAAGCCTTCTTCTACCAGTGTGGCCCAGAGATACCAAAAGGTTGGATATCCCTGAAGGAGATAGCTGTTTTCCATCAACACTATCCTTCCCATGTACACCCTGGGCTCATGCATGACTGCCTACATGCCACGATGACCTTGAAGTTCACCATCCTATTCTCCTGGCTATGTTGCTTTTGCATAGCATCTCCTAGAGCTCACGGAGCAGCACATTTGTCTGAAGCTCCTCTTTATCATACGAACATATAGCAAGTCTTTTGTTTTAGATAAAGTTAGGGGTTCAATTTTTTCATCCTAGAACTGTCTGATAAATTTAAATGGTCAAACATGGGACATGACACTGAATAGAACCCAACACTACAGAAAGTTCCCATTTTTCTAGCTCTGTCATACCTGTGGATGAGACAAAATTATTTTTACAGCTCCACATTTTTTGGGAATAACGTATGGTATGCCTCGGAAAATACAGTCACTTAAAAACTATATTTGAAATGAAAGTCTCCAACATGTTAGAAGCTGATGGTGCCAGGTGCCTGTCTTGTGCCCCCAAAAGGTTTTTCACTGGATAAAGCACCCATTGAACTGAAAGAGCTGATCTTGCTCAATTGCTCCCAGAGGCTAGAAAGTACACGAGCAACTTGAATGTCCTTTTTGGGCCACAAAAGTTCAGTTGATGTTACATGGAACGTGGATTCCAAAACAGTCCTTATAATGGGAATCTCAAGGTGGTGTTCAGTTGCAGTCCCCATCCTGTCTTGCTACTGTTTATTCTTACAAAGGCCGTACTTGGATTACATCAGCTTTGGAGACATTAGTCTTGTCACTGTCATCGACTGATAGTGATTCATCGCTGGTGATGATAAAAATGATGGAAGAAGAATTGAAAGTCACTTTCTTCTTTGGCCTGTCACCGTCTTTCTGGGACATCACAATGGGTCTGATTTGCAGCTCACTCCCAGCTGCTGGTAGGTCTGTTGCAGGCCTCTGGCACCTCAGTAGTTGGACACACAGCAGTTGCAAAAGGGACCTTCGAAACTGGGCAGAGAGAAAATAAAGTTGAACAGTAAGAAAAGTGCAGCTATTAATCTGGATTAGCATTCAAGAACATTAGTTAAATTCAATGTGGGCTGCTCTCTCCCATTTATTTTCTGATAGAGGTGTGGCATTAGGTGGCCACACTCAGGTTTACCTGAGTTGTCTTTTGTTTATTATGATTCTTATTAGCTAGACTGAGTAGGAATGTTTCCATACCTTATCATCTCCAGAAATTCAAGTTGCATGAAGCACCTAAGAGGGAAGCTACGTTTGTTTCTTTAAAGGATTTTGAATGAAAATTCATCCCACAAATCTTCAGTGAGCACTGTGTTCTCTAGGTGGTAGTCACTATGCTACACTCTGGGGATATTGTGGGCAGCAAAGATAGGCAAGGCCCTTCTTGGCAGAGGAAAGAGACGGTGGGGCGGGCCCACTAATGTTCCTTTAATTAGGGGAAGAATTTTTTTTCCCATCAAGATTATGAATCATTTAGAGCAAAAACCCTACAGCAGAGAAGGCTGGTGTCCACAAGCACCCACGTTTCTTCTCCGTCCTGGGTTCAACACTATTTCTCAGCCCCTTTCAGCGGCTCCTCCTTGCTCTTCCCCAGGCCTTTGGTGGTCAAGGTGTGAAGTTGGTCACAAACCACGTTCCTCAGTGACTGAACGGAACAGATCCCATCCTCTCCATCAAGGACACTCGACTGTGGACCGTGATCTGAATGAGCAATAACCTTTTTCTTGTGAATCTACTGACATGTTGGGGGTTTTGTTATAATAGTCTATCATGACTAGTAAAACATGTAAATAAAAATGTACTTAATTTCATTTGCATCCCCTTCGTTTAGAGGAATACATAGGCTTTCCCAGATCAGGAAATAAAAAATATAATGGCTACATTGATATTGATTTTCTTTGAGGTCCATTTATATATAAGTTAACATTTAATTTATACTTACTTTCAAAATATTTACTTGTATGAGACTTTTTTGATTTCCCAATCTATTGTTTGGTATGTCAGGATAACTGCTAAACACATTATTATGAGTACTAAGTAGATTTTGTATGCCAAAGAAAGTATCTTCCAATATAAATGGTAGCTCCTTGAGGATAAGGACCATTGTTTCATTTATTTATTTGTTTGGTTCTGTTTGTTTATTGCATCCTTTATACTTCCTGTTCAAAGTGTACCCCCAGACACCAGAAACATCAGGACCCTGTGGGAGCTTGTTAGACACGCAGGATCTTAGACACCCAAACATACTAAATCAGAATATGCACTCTCTACAAGAGCTCTAGCTGTGGTGTCTGCATATTAAAGTTTTAAAAGCACTGATTGATAGCCCAGTGGCCCAGAGAAAAAGCTAAAAAAAAAAAAAAAAATTAGTTGATGTAGCTAAAATGTAGTTAAAATTTGCCTGTTGAGGTGGAGGTCCTTAAAATAAGGTCTTATACTCCTTCAGAAAATTAAGGTTCTACTCCATCTCACTAGAAAAATTCTCACATGTAAATTTTCAGAGTTTTATAAATACTTTCAGGGTCCTGATAGTTCTCCTGTGGCCAATTCAAGAAAGCCTGGGGTTCTAACACACTCCCAAGTTAAAGATCACTGGCCTCCAGCATCTTTAACACACCTGGCTAACTTCTGGGCTTACACACCTGCCACATGCTGAGCACCTAGACATGCGCAGTGGGAGCAGAAGGCAACATGCAAGGGAGAGAGGGACCATCAGTGATAAGAAACTGAGCCCTATGCAAGCAAGCCCATGGGGAGGGTAAACCAACAACATTCAAGGAGGCGTAAGAAGGGCATTAGGAGTGAGCATTATAAAGCTAATATAAAAGTGCTCCCTTCTTCCCAGCTCTTGAAGCATTAGAAGTCACAGTAGTTATTTTGCCTGTTATTAATATGACCTGTTACTTAAAAATTCCAATAGTGTCATTAACCATTACACATAACTTTTAAATTCCCTGATCTTTCCACTTCGTAACTGAGAGGCTCCGCTTCACGTCAGTCCCAACGAGGCCTCTCACAGCCTGACGGGCAACCATCGAGCCAGCACCGCAGTGGTGCGCGCGCACTAAAGCTCCCTGTGGCACGAGCAGACGCAACAGGTCTAGAGGGAGTTTGTTGAGCCAGATTAATCTTAGCTACACATTGGCTGCGGCATAATAATAACCCAACCGATTGTTAACGACGCCTATTACCCAAAGTGAAGAGTTACACAAACAAGGTCAACATCCAGCCCTGCGTGCTTCCTGGATCAGGCAAGTTATGAAGCTTCTCTGAATGTATGTAATAATTCATAAATAAAATAAGAAGTAATATCAGTGCCTATTTCATGGAGTTTTGTGATGATAATAGGTGTAACCTGCATAATATAGTAAGAATTTTACATGTATATACTCACACTCGCCATGGTCTGAAACCAATCCTGCAATATCTCCCAGGTATGCCTGTTTTATTATTAATGTCTGTTGCGGCTGTTATTGTCACTAGACATAAAACAGTTTCTGCTAAACACTAATTTTAATCGAATTTTACCTAACAAGCATGAACCTCCAGAGTGGTAGAACTGTTATCATTTTCTTTGGCAATATCCTCTTTTTCTTCGCGAAGCCTTTACTTTCCTGTAAAATTTTCAACTTGGGTTTTTATCATGGAAGCTTCTCTGAATTATTTCTATAAAGGTATCCTATTTGTCAACAGCCAACCACCCCACCCCAGCCCAGGGTGAAAGTAATCAGTGAATTACAAAGCTTACTTTTCTGATCATGAAGATATAAATAAGCGGGTTATACACAGTGCTTGATTTAGCAGAGAGGTAGGAAACAACAGACATTGTTGGAGTGACCAGGTGTCCATACCCATTCACCACCAAGAAACAGATCACAATATAAGGCATCCAAAAAATCAGGAAGGTGACTATCATAATAAAGCACATTTTGGCCACTTTCTTTTCATATCTTAAAATCTTGATCACTTGAATTGTCTGAAGATCTTCAACACAGTGAAGCTGCAGAAAGAAAGGAAAGGGTTGAAAGTTAAAGAATCATTTTTGTTGTTTCTAGAATATATATTCAGGCACCACTCTTGGCCCTGCCTTAAAGGAAAGAGAACTGAGCAGGACCTTGGGGGCCGAGCTCTGACCGGGGACCTGCATCCGGGCCCAGTCCTAACCTCTCCAGGGCTCAGTCTTCCCGTCTTTAACATAATACACTAAACTGTGTCGTCTCTTAGATCCCTTAATGGTGTTTGATGTTGTCTAATTTACTTCAAGAAGTATAAAATGATTAATTTTATTGATGCATAGATCGTCAAGTCGCTAAAAGACAGCCTGAAAGAGTCACGGTAAATTGGTAACAGTTTCTCCATGATGCTGGAAACTCTTAGCAAGAGCATAATCCTCAGCGTGATATCTAGAGTTCTGCATGGTTAAGCCCACAGCTGGCTGTGGTGAGAACTGAATTCACACATGAACTCTTGCCAGAAACTACTGTGACTTCTGATTCACAGCTAATGACTGTAAAGTAGGATTTGATGAGGAATTTGTAATTGGTTTCATCAGGGCCTTGGCTACAGACATGAGCACCTGGCAAAAATTCCGTGGTTGTTTTCACTAAAAATCAGCATATCTACTTCTAGTGTATTCCCACTAGATTTTTTTTGGTTCTTACATTTTTAAAGTTCTTTGACAAAGTTTCTCTGAAAAAATGTTCTTTAGATGTTCCTCTTGTTCTTATTATGTGTTATTAAGGTGAGGGGAAAAATATTCCTGTACACCGAAAGTATGTTTTTAAATAAAATGGTTATTTCTGACTATTCTAAGCTTGTTATGCTACAAAAAATACAAATGCTTTAAATGTTGATTTTTAAAAAGGTGCTTGGCATACTGTTGATATTTAATATGTAATTTTAAACTGGGAAGTTGATGGCATTTCAACAACCTTTTTTTTTAATTTTAGCATTACTGTAAAAATTAAGGAAAATTACCAAATAAGTCAACTCATGTGCTTATTGTACTTAAAATATATATTTGAACTAATATATGTAACCTATTAATATTATCTGAAGTTGTATTTAAGAAACTAGATTCTTATTAGAATCATGTATTCATGTGGACAAAAAAAAAACCAAAACAGAAGATAACATGGATAATTAAAATGTTTGATTATTTTTTAGAGTAGAGGAACAAGACACAGATACAAATAATTCCACTTGGGATTTTTTTCTTCTCATTCTAGTTTGTGAAATCTTAAAAAAAAAAATCACATAAACAATCATAACATAAACACATATACTTCTTACTTTTTCTCACATATTATTTTCCTGAACATTCACAGACCATGAGTCCAAAAAAGAAATTTTCCAAAGGTTTATTGCCTATTAACCAGATGACTCTTCTCAGTCTAGGATTAGGAACTGTCTCCAAACTTCGGATGCTACGCTCAAACTGGATTTCCCAGCCTTACAAATACCCTGAGCCCGGCTGAGGGGCGCAGAACTTCCAGCACTCAGACTCAGCTCAGCCTGTGGACCCGCCGACCACAGAAACAAAGACGGCTCTCTTCACGGTCACACCACTTCCCCTTCCTATGCCATCTGTCTGTTTCTTACCCCCAGAATAGTCACCGATCACCTGTTACATGTGTGCACTGTTCCTGCAACAGATGAACGATAAGACTGGGTCTCTGCTCTTGAGGAATTAACTCACTGCTTGGCGAGGGTGACAAACACACAGGCTGCTTCCCTAAGTGATATGTGCTGGGGGGAGGTGAGCAGGGAGGATTATGGGAATACACAGGATGGGTAGTCAGTTCAGAGGTAGGTTAGAGGCAGAATACCCACATCTTAGCCTTCAGAGGTGATTAGGAGTTAGCCAAGTAAGGAGAAGAGACAGAAGAATGTTCCAGAGAAAGAATGAATGTTAAGGCAAAGTGGTAAAAAGAACACATGTCAGGTTCTAGAAACAATTAAGATTGCAATTGGCTAAAACCAGAGGTGGCCAGAGGGAGAGCATGTCAAGAAATTATCAGAACAGGCAGCCAGGAGATGGCCTTGCTGGACTTGGTGGTCATACTCAGGGACTTTGTGTTTCATCATGAAGGCAATGGAACTACTACAGGATTTTAAGGTAGGCAGGGATGTGAGAATATTTGTATTTGAGAACAGTTACTCTGGCGGTAGTGTGAAGGAAACGGACTAGAGGAAAGCAAGAACGAAGGGAGGAAAACGAAGGTCTATTAGAACTGAGTCTGTGGCTATGGGAAAGGGGGGAAATGATACATGAAAAAATATTTGAGGTTGAATAGATAAAAATTAATAACTGGTTGGATGTGTGGGAAAACAAGGATGAACAGTAGTCAAAGACTACTCTTTAATTTCTGGGTAGCTAGGAATGACGATGGTTCACTGAGAAAGGGAATGGATGTAACAGATTTGAGGGGGAAAGATGACCAATTCATCTTCACATGGTTGAATTTCACTAGTCTGTGGACCGTCCAAGTGGAGATATTCAATAGGCAATTGACTGTGCAGATCTAATAGAGGTCAGAAGAACAACCTGGATCAGATATAGAGATTTCATAGTCATCAAGCTATTGCTAGGAAGAGAAGTCCTAGTAACACATTAGATTTGTCCAAGGCTAGTATCTAGCATGAAATGAGAGAGTATAGAATGCAGGGGAGGCCCATGGAAAAGAAGCCCTTGACAGAGACTTGAGAAGGTGGGCCAGACAGACAGCAATAAAGATATGAGATGAGTGGATTAAAAAGATGTGGTACAGTTACACAGTGGAATACTACAGAACTGTAAAAAAGAAGTTCTTACCCTTTGTACCAGCTGGAATATGGAGTGCGCCCCACATGGTAACTTCAGACGTCATTCCTGCTACACCCAACAGGAAATCTGCCTGGGGTCAGTTCTTGTCCTTTATGACTCAAAGGTGATCTCCCAGCAAAATACCTGTGCTAATCTTTCATGGATTTATGTGATCCTTCTGTGAATAAAATTATGAGGAGTGTGGAATTCCCTTCATTAGAGTTCTTAAATGCTGAGTGTGCTAGAAAACAAAGGGGTTTGGGGAGGAAGTTATAGTTGATTTTTTCTGTCCAAAACCCCTTTCCAGTTTGGACTGGTGGCATAGAAAGAATAAATATTATTCCTCATTGACCTTTCCCAGAGTGATTCATACTGCAAAATTCTATCAAATGGGAAGAGCTGCTTAGCTGTGGGCAGCTACTGATCACTTAGGACGAGTTTCGTTCTCTTCAATTTCACACAAAATTTCCTACCCTGGACACAGTTGGGGGAAGGGCATTCAAAGTCTTCAACTCACCATTCGAATGGAATACAGAATATGGCCATAGCAATGGGCTATGACGCCCACGGGCACCACCAGACAGCCAAGAAATAAGAAAAGCACAAAGGAGGAATCGTTGGCGTCCTTGGATTTCCAGTCGACAGCGCAGCCTAGTCCATGTACATCCAGGATGTACCTGTTCCAGCCCAGGAGAGGGGCTCCTGACCACGCCAGCGAGTACAGCCAGATGTAGGTAATGGCTCTCCAGGCCCAGGAAAAATTGATCACTCTGGCCTGGACCACGCGAATATAACGTTCGTAGGCCAGCACTGTTAGGGTGGTCACAGAAACAATCCCTGCAGGGAGAGAAAGGGCGACAATGGAGCATGGCACCGGGGAAGGCAGCCGGCCCGGAGGGCTACCTTCCCACACTCCGCCAGAGACACCTGAGCGTGTCTGGAGCCCACAACGGACCCCAAATGCTGCACTAAGAGGAATACCGTCTCACTATCCTCAGGAAATTCGATAGGAAATATATTTACCCATAAAGGAAAACGTGGACTAGAAAACGGCATGTGGTTTGCAGCAGGACAAAAATAAAAGCCCTACAAGCAGCTGACCCGATGACCCTATTGCATTCAATTTCCCGCAAAGAAAAGCTCTGGAGCGAGTCAACGTGAATCACTAAAGCGAGTCTCACATGGTGTTTCCTCCCGTCAGCTGTGTCTGACTCAGCTGTTAGAAATAAAGTCAGAGTGGGTACCACAAGTGTGAAGGGACCAAAGTCATGGTCTCAATCACGCAGGAGGCCACCTCAGCCACCTGCCAGCGGATGGCGGTCTAGGAACAGGTCCGCGGCTAGGACTGCTGGCGAGGGAGTGAAGTCTTCAGTGCTGCCACGGTCCTCATTTATCCCTCTATTTGCAATAAACACACTTTTACAGTGTTATTTGCCTATTTCTCTGCCTCTCCCCCAGTCACTTATTCAGTCGGCACGCTGACACAGGAGGTTCGGGGACGGCAGAGGCTCAGCACGCGAGCTGTCTGGGGGCAAGACAGATGCGCGAGCAGCTGGGACGCCGCGCCAGGTGTGGGGGCTGCAATTCTGACGCGGTGGATTGTGGGACCCACAGAGGACGGGGCCTTTGTGGACAAGGCAGGAGACGCACTGAAGAGCCTTGTACCAGAGCATCGAGGCCACGGAAGGGTCTCGGAGGACGAGGAGGGGAGAGAAAGTTAGAAAGAGCAGATGAGGCCATACGGAGAAAGACTTCCAATTTCCTGTTAAGGTTTTTTGTTTGTTTTGTTGTTTTTCTTTAAAAAAAAAAACAACCTTTTTCCTGTATAAAATAGTAGATAGTAAGTATGTTAGTCCGTCGTGTTTTTTAAGCATGAAAGGGACAATGGTTAGGTTCTCCTTAACCATTGGCCTCCGTTCCCCTCTGAGAGGACTTATTCCGGCAGTACCGTAGAGCTCCAAACACCGGCCAGGGCGTGGGGACCAGCTGGCAGGCTGCTGCGACAGCCCGGGCAAGATACCATGGGGTCTGAAGAAGGGCACCTTAAAAAGTTTGAAAACAATGACGTATGAATTTTAGAGACATTTAACAACATCGGCAGAACTCATCAGCTTATTAAATGTGAAGCGTGGAAGAAAAGAGAGGCGTAAAGAATAACGTAGAAATACAGCATAGGGAATATAGTCTGTGATATTGTAATAACTTTGTATGGTGACTATGTATGGATACTAGACTTATCAGGGTGACCACTTTGTGTAAGGTATATAAATGTCTAATCACGATGTTGTAAAGCTGAAACTAATATGACATTGTATGTCAACTGCAATCAGTTGGTGGGAATGCAGACTGGCGAGGCTCCTCTGGAAAACAGAATGGAACTTCCTCAAAAAATTTAAAATGTAACGGCCTTATGACACAGCAGTTCCACTGCTGGGACTATGCCCTAAGAATCCTGAAACACCAATTCAAAAGAACTTACACACTCCTATGCTCACAGCAGTGCTATTTATAACAGCTAATTCTTGGAAACAGCCGAGGGCTCATCAGTAGATGAGTGGATCGAAAAACTGTGGTACACGAACACAGCTGAATACTATGCGGCAGAAAGAAAGAATGAAGTCCTACCTTTTGCGACAGCATGGCTGGACCTGGAGAACATTATGCTACATAAAATGAGCCCATCGGAGAAAGAAAAATACCGTACGACCTCACATATCACTGGAATCTAATGAACAAAATAACCTAATGAGGAAAACAGCACCAGAGACATGGACACATGGAAGAGACAGATAGCTGTAGGAGGGGAGGGGGGAGAGGAGGAACGGTGGGAGGAGAAGGGGGGATTAGTCAAAGGACATGTGTGAACAGCACCAGAGACATGGACAACAGAGGGAAGGCTGACTGCGTGAGAGGGCTGGGCTGCGTAAAGGGGAGCAAAAGGGAAACAGATGGGACACCTGTGATAGAATAAACAATACGAAATTAATTAATTAAGAAAATAACTTGGAGATTTCTAACCTGTGTGATAAGCAGAGTGATTACATTAATAGAGAGAAAAACTACACGGTGTATGAGCAGATATGAAGGAGAAAATGAAATTGCGAGTTTCCTACATTAGCAAAAATATCTGTTAGATGAATAGGTCAAAAAAGGTTGTAAAACTGGTTCTAATGGAAGATGAAAAGAGGACTGGTCTCATGAGAAGTAGGGTAGGGGTGTGGAGGGTAGGTTTTCAAGACGCCTGGGAGTGAGCCCCAGCTCCCCACTCAATGGCTCTGTGACTGGCAAGTCATGAAATCTCTTTAGACTTTAGCTCTATTTTTGTTTACATAAAATTGAAAATCCCTTCACATAATAAAATTTTTATGACTTTACAATTATGGACGTGTGAAATGGAGAGATCCTAGACTCAGAAAGCAATTGATGGAACATTGGTAATATTCATTTAGATCATGACAGGCTTTTGGTTTTTCGGGGGGAAGGAGGGCATGGTATTATGCCCAGTGTCTGATATCTGTGGCTATCAGTAAATGCTCACTGAATAAATGAGTGAATGTCCAGTAAATACATAAATGGCTGGAAGAAGACTGGGTTTTGAAATATGACAGAGGAAATACTTCAGAAAGTAGTGATATGGTTAGAGCAACAAGTTGATATAATTTTAACTTTCATTCATATATTCATTCATTTAGTTATTTATTAAATATTTATTGCTTATCTGCATGTGTCAGTCATTTTACTAGAAAACAGATGTAAAGAAGTGAGTGAAATAAGTGTCTCATGGAACTTACAGAGCAGTGCGTACAAGAGATAACAATTATAAAAAACAATGGAGCATCATGCGGACTGAGAGACGCCTTTGTACCCTTTGTATCTTCCCATAAATCGACAGCTAGTCAGGCATCTATAACCCAACAAAGGTTCCCCTGCTCAACACACGGATGCCTGAGAGGTCCACACATCGGCACATCTGGTGGAGGGCATCTTAGAACGCCTGGGGAGGTGGGACAATGGGAGGACAGGGACGGTGCCCGTAGACATGGCCACCTGGCTGTGCCCACGGCCCCAGACAATGCAGTACCCATGAAGGAGCTGGGATGAGGCTCCCACACGCCTGGTGGAGGGAAAGAGGGGCAGGAGCAGCGCCCTCACCAGAGCCCGGCAGCACAGACACGCCTATGGTCTCCGACAGCACCCCTGGCCCTGGGTAGTCAGGTAGCATCGCAGACGTTGGGCTGGCTCTTACCCACCTCATCCCCCCACCATGGTGGTGGTCCCTCTAGAATCAGGAGACTCAGATCCAGCAGGGGCATCCACCACCCCCGTCACCCAGGCAGTGATACCCATAACCATAGTGACACTCCCCACAGTGACCCTGGAGGCACAGAGAACAGGCTGACAGTTGACAAAGGGGAGGGGCATTGGGAGGCTTGTGAACAAGGCGAAGGGATAAAGCAGCACCGATCGGTAGCTACAGAATGTGGAGGCGGAGATCACAGCATGGGAATGTGGCCCATCATATCGCGATGACTGTGCATGGGGCCAGGTGGGTGCCTAAAACATCAGGGGGACCACTCTGTAAAGTACCTGATTTTCTAACCACTTTGCTGTACATCGGAAACTAATACAGGATATTACTGAATGTAAACTACAATTGAAAAAATGTTTTTAATTTTAAAGAAAACAAAAACTGAATTATACCACTATCTATTGGAAAGCAGAAGAAAAACATCTGGTCGAACTGATAAATTATTAAAATCAACATGGTACCTAAATGAGAAAAGTGTTCACTACTTCAGAGGCACCAGCGGAGGAACAACCCATCAAGCACTATGAACAACCAAAATAACACAGTCATACAGAAAGAAACTTCCAGAAACCAAACTCAAAATCATGGAAGACTGTGATCTAAATGAGAAAGCAAAAGGACAGCCATGAGGACAGTCAACAAGATGTAAGAAAACTCTGAAAAGCAGCCCAGTGAGCTCAGGTCTAAAATGAATAAACAGAAGGAGTATTTTACCAAAGAGATTTAAACTATAAAAAGGACCAAACAGAAATTCTGGAGCTAAAGAAATCAGTAAATGAGATGAAGAATTCAGTGGAAAGCACTGGAAATAGAGAAGACTGTACGGAAAAGAAAATTAATGAGCTCAAAGATAGACATTGAGAAACATACACAAATGCTCCCGATCAAGGTCATTTCCCCACACTGGCCAGGACATGTCCCCATGGGAGAGTCAAATCTCTAGACTCTGGGTAAGCACGTTTATACCAAACAGAATAGGTGCAGAGCAGGTGCTTAGAACAGGTTTGGACATACCCCAGATCAGTTCATTCCTATGTGTTAGATTAAAAAGTGACTATGACAATGCCAAGGCCTTCAAGGAGCTCGCATTCCAGAGAAGCGGTTACAGAGAGACACCCCAAGACCAACAGCAGAAGGAAGAATATCCAATACCGGGAAAGACTTTCTCTGGGAAGTAGGTACCACCCAAGTGAGTCTTGAATATTAAGCACATTTTAAGCAGATGAATACAGAAGGGTGGAGCGTGGGGCGGGGGTAGTTAACTCTTTCCCAGGAAGAGGGAACAGCTTGTATAAACACATGGAGACCTGACAGAACTGGTACCATTTGGATTCCTGCAAATAATTCAATACAGTAGAAGCAGGGACTTATAATAAGGGAGAAGTCAAGAACTAGGGGCTCTCCCAGAAGACCCTTAAATGGCAGGCAAGGATTTTGAAATGGATCTCAAGGGCTCCGAGGAGCCATTGAAATGCTTTTGTGGTCTTATGTGTCTGTAGAATTCTAGAATTTTGTTTTACTTTCTCGT